TTGGAAGGTTTAGGCTGAATTGCGATTGACCAGCACAGAGCTTTCAAGGGTGCAGCTCAATGAACCTCCAGTTCCATAAACTATGGGTAAAGATGGGGCACGGCACAAGTGTGATGTCAAAACCAAATTGGTCAGAGTTAAAGCATCTGAGTGGGAAGTGTATTTACTTTTGCTGGTGAGACCTGGGGTGCGCTTGAAGTTAATTGAGGTCAGAGATTCTGAGAGATAAGCCGCTAGCCTACCTCTTCCAAACCAAATTCATTGAACGAGTAAATGATTCATACATGTTTCTGGGAGAATTGCTATTTTGTCAAAGTAAGTGGAATTGTGCTCCAGGTGACTTCGTAGCACGTTAGACAACCTTTATATTGGGAAGAATTGGGCATTATTCCTGGTTTGTATGTTTAACGCCAGCAAAATGGTAGTGCCAAGACTTTCTAGTGGGAATAAGTAAAAACTTTTCTAGTTTCATGGTCTTTTTATTTTTCTTCCTCCCAGCTCTGGGTTGAGAGATCACGATGTAATTGTCAGCATAAACGGGCAACCTGTTACCACTACAACTGATGTTACTGAAGCTGTTAAGGATAATGATTCCCTTTCCATGGTGGTTCGTCGGGGAAGTCAAACTTTGATCCTGAGAGTCACACCTGAAATAATCAATTAAGCAACTTGTTTTTGGAGACACCATTTTATTTTCCACGGGGCTTTCTGGACAGGGACGCAGTACTGCTTCCAGCTGTGGTGGGTTTGACAGGAAAGTTTCTGCTGAAGCACCTTACTTTAAAGAGAGATATTCTAATTACTTGGTTTGTATTGAAGATGTGCTGATGATGGCAAGGTGTGTTTTGGGTGGGAGCGTTTTTTGTTTGTTTTACAAAGAAAAAATATGCTTTTTTATAAAGAAAAACTCACACACATGTTCAGAGCTCATTAGGCTGTGGGTGCTATATATACTGCTGCTGAGGAAGCCAAGTGGAAGGATGTGGTGCCAGGAAGTCTGGAGAGCTGATAAAATTGTATGTGAAGATAAAGAAATGACAGAAAAATAGGCCCAGTCCCCAATTTAATCTGGGATAGAGGAACTTCAGTACTTTTAACATTCCTGTTGCCACAACCTCAACATAACACGTACACACAAGCTGATCTACCTGCCCATCATTAGGAAACACCTGGAATTCAGAGTGTGAAGTAAATAAAGTTTGTAATAATCATCCTTTATAGTTCTTTATTCAAGTCAGCTTTTCAGGTTGTATCCCAGTTGGCTAGTGTTTGTACTTACAGGGAACAAGCTTTTAGCAGCTGAGTGGAAACTGACCAACGCAGGTCACCACAGAAGATTATCAGTAACGATTCTTCAGTTATCCCTCCTCCCTCCAGCAGTGGAAACAATGGTCTCCAGTAGCTCTTCTGACTCTGAGAAGAAGGGCGTAGTCCAGAAAACAGCTTCGTCAATAGTTTGAAGATTTTAGCTTTTGACCCACCTCTTCCTTTTGGCAACATTAATGAGATCGCACATCAAATCTTTTTTTTTTTTAAAAAGAAAAAAAATTTTTATAGGGGGAGAGCACGTGCAAAAACACACAAAAACACAAAAAAAAAAAGTCTAGGATGAAAATGAAGCAGGACTTGTAGCTTAACATAACACCTTATTTTTAGGAAAGCCCATTTTCCAGACTTCCTTTAGGGGAGAGTTTTTCTTAGTAGGGCACCCTCGAGACCCATAGCCCTTAAGTTCTACGTAAGAGTGTCCTGTGGATGCTCACTTTTCTGGGGAGGTTTCTCATAAGCCACAAAAATGAAAAGATACTGAGAGTAGAGAGTAGTTACTAGTACAGACCTACAAGTTATTACTTTTATAAGCCAGGTAAAGATCAGCACAGAATCATCAGTTTGAAAGTTTTCCACAATGACCACCATTTAGTAATATTAAGAACAGGGATCATACTAATCAGGGATAATAAAGTTGAAACTTTAGGAAAGTGCTACAAAATGATAGCGCTATGCAGGGACATTCACTGTGACTCTTACTCTTTAAGCCAATTACGATGAAACCAATGCCCTCTTTGAGCTGTTTACCTTGTTTCTAGAGTTTGCTGTGTTTTCCCAAATAG